ATCGTCCAATGAGCGCGCGTCTCGCGCGCCTGCCCGCGACCACGTGACGTCGCACGAATCGCGCGCGACGCAGCGGTGGGGAACGGGTAGGATAGGAGGGGGGCGGTCGGGCTTCCTCGCGCTGCTCGCGCATCCCGTGCGCGTATCCCCCGTACTGAAAATGGCCGCCAGCTGTCACTCGCCTGCGAAGTGTGGCTTGTTGTGAAGGAACACGACGCGGATTCGTCGCGGAACGGCATCTCCGAGCGCGCAGCACGTCGCGGGGACGCGATGCACTTGCGTGACGACACGCGGCACGCTGGCTGAGATCGCACGGGACCGTCGCGAGTGAGAGAAAGAGAGAGGGAGCGAACGAGAGCGACGGTGGAGAGGAAAGAGAAGAAAAAAAAACGAAGCGAAGAAAAGAAAAGGGTGAAGCGGGGAACGCGAGTGTGCGAAGTGTGCGGTATACGCCAGCGACGGTGTTTGCCTCCGGCGGGTGTCATGAGAGCGCGGCCGTTCGCACTGTTTACAGTTTAAGGTTTCCGCGTCAAGTGCGCGGCTAGTCTCGTGTTTGCCCACGCGACAAACGCGGCAACGCGGGCCGATTCGCGTCCGCCACCTCCATCTCCGCTTCGATCCGCTCGCGCGACACGGTCTCACATTCGCGAGACCATCCCGATACTCCTCGCCCCGCGTGGCTGCCGCCCTTCCCCCTTGGGATTTCTCTCGTTTTGCAACTTTCCCTCGAGGAAACAGTCAAGGTAAATTTTCGTCGGGGTAGCGTCTGGGTTCTGGATAACCTTTCGGTTACTGCTGCCCGATTTGTGTGTTGACGCTCCGAGTTTTTTTTTGCTTCATATGTAGCGATATCTGTGCCTCGTGTTACGTTTTTTTTTTAAAGAAAATTGAATATAATTCTAGTATGTATGTATACACACACATGATTTTTGCAAGCATTTCTGTATGTAGGTAAAGTTCTCCGATGCAACACATAAATGTATTGCTTCAATGATTAATCGTAGAATGAACAATAATTGTGTTGTAAATGAAATAAGACAGATACGCGTATTGCTGATTATCTTTACTTTAATCTTATTTAATGATTTAATTTTACATATTTTTGCAAAAATTAGTTGGGATATTATTTTATGTTACTTTATATATTACGAATGTTAGTCCAGGTAGTCTAATAAACTACCTTTTTTTTATTTTCAGGAAAGCAGAATGGGTTCCAGTCAACAGTTCTCTCTTAGATGGAACAATTATTTGAAACACATTACTTGCGCTTTCGACACGTTAAGGACGGACGAGGATCTCGTAGATGTCACTTTGAGCTGCGAAGGCAAAAGGATCAGAGCACACAAAATGCTCCTGTCAGCATGTAGTACATACTTTAGAGATTTATTTAAGGTAAATGCAATTTTGGTCGATTCGTTAGGTGTGCATTTAAATGTGGGAACAACTTTTTGTAACAGTTATTTGTTGTTATAGGAAAATCCGTGCCAGCATCCCGTCATAATATTCCGTAATGTAAAATTCGATGACTTGGCTGCCTTGGTCGATTTCATGTACCAAGGTGAAGTAAATGTCGTTCAAGAGCAACTGGCGAGTTTTCTCACAACGGCAGAGCTCTTGGCGGTGCAGGGTCTCACAGACGGCACAGGAAAGGACGACAGTTTAGTGGAGGTGAGTTGCTAACACGTAAAATGATTAAGGGATTATACAAATCAATATACATTTATTATCTATTCACTACTATTTCACGCTGTTTGAAGAGCCATGTCTGTCTCTGATTTTGTTATAATTATAATAATTTTAATGGAAAGAGAATGTAAGTTTCTTTGCCCCAGCCTACATTCTGGAGAACTGGATTTGTTTTATTTTAAGTTCATTTATTGTTAACATTATTTGGAGATTTCTGTCTTCCAAGGAACAACGTAATACTTCAATTTGCTCATTTCCAGTTAGCTTAGGATTGAGTTCATGTTTCGGGTATTTTATTTATATTTCGGTGGAATATTTTTCCACTGAAAAATCCTAGAACACATGCAGGGTGACGAATCCAAAAATCGAACCTGGATCTTTGACAACTGCTTCAGCACTGAACTATGCCTCTTATTTATATATCATATTACCTTTTAGGATGACTTAGAAATTCCCAACGAGCCTGAAGTTCAACTGCAGAACACTTCCGGTAAATCCACGGGGGATAACAAGAGAAATAAGTCCCCATCGTCTCCGATGCCATACCACGCCGTCGAATTGCAACCCGAAGTGCCGCCAAACAAAAGAAGAAAAATTCGAGAAAGTACGAATGTGAACGCGGAGAAGAATTCGGCAGGGATGAACGCGAAGGATTGCGATGGGAAAACGTCGGAAAATCAGACGGGATCGGCCTCCGATCCGGTTGAAATAATTCCCCTCATGCCGAACTTAAAGCTGGAGATGCCGGAATATCTGGAGCAAGATGGTAGCAGTTGTAGTTATGAAGATCAGAGTATAGGTGACAGTACGCTGAATAAAATCACCATAGACGACACGTCGTCGACCACGCCTGATCACGAACAGAAGCCCGACATCAGTCAGACATTTTACTCGAGTCAGTCGACATCGGACGGTTTGGACGGCAAACATCAGTCAGATGTTGGTAGGTATCTTTTGTACGTTATTTAAATGTTTAGAATTTGCAGAAATATTTTTTACCTTATTTATTTTAATCAGTTTTCAACGTCAGTTTTCACGCAGGCTGATGATTTTGTTTTGTCTGTTAGGACACCTACTATCTAAACCAAGTACTTCGGGAGAAAGGGCAACACAGGATGCGGTACAGGGTAAGTGATTATCTATTCTCTTTTTATTATATACAAATTATATGATATAGTCTGTTGTTCTGCCATTACAATGTAATTACAACATGGAATTGCAACAAATTTGATGAATTAATAGTTGTAGTTAATTATAGATTTATTTAAATTATTATTTATTTAAAGTTTGTGAAAATTAAGGCTATAATTTAAAACAAATTATTAAATCTCAAATTACAGATTGTAATATATAGGAATGACAAATTATTTAAATTCGGTATTTAATCATTCATTATCATTCATGAAATCATTTACAAGCAACATACAGTAGTATGTGACAGTAATGGCAGTCTGACAAACTTCAAAGTTTTGTATCCACATGATCCACATACTTAGTTATAAGTTAGCAATCTTTTAAAAATGTGCATCTATATATATACCTGATTTTAATATATTGGACATTAATATACATATAAGAGAATTTTATGCATTAATTTGAATTATAAACTGCTCTGTGATACACGAAACTGCACTCTAACTTCAGTGGTGATGGATTAATTGCATGTACTGTGGGTACAAAACCAGAACAATAGTATAAGCACCTTGATACATGAAGCGTCAGTATTACTTGGGAATTACTTGGTTTCATGGATTAAGGTTCGGTAACAATTATTTTTCATTGCAATAAGAAGGAAGACAGGATTCCTTCCTGTTGTGATATTGTGATCTTAAGTTTGAGGGGTAGTTAGTTGATTGATTTTTCACATCAAACTGTACGATGGTTTGGTAGCTATGCAGCTTTGCATTACTTATACACGCACACAAATGATAATTAGAAGAGGAGATTAGGTTTTGTGTATATATATATATATGTATATACAAAAAAATATATACATATAAATCCAAAGACAGTGATGTGTAAGATTTACAATGGAAACGTGTATTATTACTTTACAACGACGAATATTTCAAGAAGATATCTCGGGTCTCAATTACAATCTTTCTTTTACGTGAACCTGGTTCTCACTAACATGACAAAATATTTAAAGATAATGAAGAATCGATAACGCTTCTCACAATTTTACAAAAATGACATATTTTTACCCTGTAATATATAACGCTATTAAAAATTTATTAGTTTTTGCAATGCTCTGTGAAATACTGTCAATTGTTGTTTTCCTTTTTGACCTGATTACTCTTGCATTATTAAATGGGATCAGGTTTACAATCTTATTGTAAGCAAATTTCTCAACATTAACGATAAACATATGTGTGATACATTCCCTGCTTTGTAACAGGGAAGACTACTTTTATTTCCACCGATCATATCGAGATTTACCTTTTAATGTACAGAGTGCATGGTGTTTTGGATGTAAATGTATGGTACAGGCACTCGGGTGTAGGTTGAACTGTAGATACTAGTAAGCATTGCCAAGTGCTGTATGTGTGCCGACAATCATCAACATTCCTTTTTTTAATAACTTTGATCAAAGCCACCACTATATTCCTTATGCGCACTAACTGTAAGCATATTTCTGTGTATATACTAAAATAAGAAATACCTTTCGATACTGGTTCAAGGCAACTTCTTCGTAAAAATATCTAATTCGTGTGTATGGCGCGAATCCTATTACATATACACTATGGTTTATTTGCATGTAACGTTAATCTTAAATACCGGATATCGATTTTTAAACGTTAGAACAAAACACTGCGAGTCAAATTTATGGAATTAATATTTTCTGAAAGTTTTGGCGAAGCTTATTTTGGAAAACTTGATCAATATGGTCGAATGTAATAGGCTATAATTTAAACAAAAAAAAAATTTTTTTTAAATAATACATATATAGTAATATATTTTTTAATGAAAATACAATTATGCCCCAATTCTTTTAAATACAATTGTTTCGCTAAATGAATATTTTAGATAAAAAATTTTTCCCCTTTACTATTCGATGAGAATAGCTTTGTCCAAATTATTTATTTACTTTTAACTGAATTTATAGACTTATGATTGTACAATAATGTAATCTCTAGTTGAAGATAATCCAAGATGATTTTAACGCAATTGTGCGAAAATAAGTTAATTATTAATTACATATATAATATTTTATGAAAATTATCTCGGACACATAATTGCGAATTTCGTTCGAGTGCTTTTCGAATCAGCTTCCGGCGATCATAACGATCGCTGTATCCGGATCAGGATTGATTAATGTTGAGATTAACTTGCAGAATGTATCGTTAGTCTGTCGCGAGATATACATTCGTGCAAATACGAACTAATTCTGAAGTAGTCAGGTGGTGGTGGTGCTCTGGTGACAGTGGCATGCGCGTGCAATCTTTCCTTAATATTTGGTAATTTAAAAGCAATTCTTTCCCTCCTTGTACGATGCAAAACTCCATATAGTAAGCAGGAGCGTATGGGAAATACAGCGATCAGGATTGAATCGATACTCCTCTGGAATCCGTCAGTTCCGATATTCTCTGATATTCTTGATATTACCCTATTGGGAAAATAGAGCTCTAAAAATATTAATATTGTGACAATAGATTTTACATGATTAAACGGGAAATCCATGCAAGTTCAAAGCATAATAGCAGGATAAGATTGCGTCTCAACAGTTGCACACAAAATTGTACCAAAGTAAACAGATGTTTTCGGATTATTTTGTACTTATGGTCTTGTTAAATGCATATTCGCGCAAAAGAAGGTAAATCTTCCGATGGAAAATAAATTTTACAAAACCGAGACTGATAAAAACGAAACCTATGGCTCGATGTTGATTTGTCTTATAAATGTTAAAATTTCACTTGACGTTCTATTAATAAATATATTAATGTAAATATATAAGCAGAATTAGTTATATTCGTGAATTATTATACTTTCTCGCTTTATTGGAACATTTTATGTTCATTGTCAGTTAATTACATAGACAAATTAGAATTAAAATCGAACGAAAACGAAATGCATAAATCGAAAAACCGAGACGGATTTCGGAAGAGACTATCGACATCTGGTATATTTTCCGCACGAGACGCTCACGAGTGTGGGGATTGTGAACGTATCTTGACCCGAAAATCTTTGATTGCAAATATGTATGGCCGGAGAAAGAACGACAAAAAAAAAGACAGAAAAGAAAGAAATAAGTGGGTGGTTTCGGCAGGTAGGTAATACAAGATCTCAGCAACGATCTAAAGCAGTAGCACGAGTTCTTCTAGTAGTCACGACGACATCAAAACGCTTGTTCCTTCATTTCAAGTGCTAACGTTATTATTCGTTCACGTAAACGTCGTTAACGTCTCCGCGCGATGTGACCCGTTGCGTTTCGCCTCGAAGTCGATTCGTCGCGTGGTCTTTCTCGTTTACCGATTCTCGACTGTGAATCTATATGAGCACGAAGCTGCGGACCCCGTTATTAATCGAATAATGCGATATCTTGGATACTGAATATTTAGTCAGTTAATGTGACTTGATTAAAGAAGATAAATTTCTAATATCTAATTTCTAATATACTGCCATATATCTAAGTCGTAAGGTAACATTGGGTTTACTGATCTTTATCTCGCGAGGAGATAGAAACAGACGCCGTTGGATAAATTCTAGATCGAAATTGATTACAACGATTTTAGGCCAATTGTAGCTTGGGAGTAGGAGGACTAGCGTGATTCTGTGATTGAATACACAGTTGCTTCCTACTTCCAAGGCACTGTTATTTCTTTATTTCCAAGATACTGAATTGTTCTTGAAAAACGTTTCGTCGACACGCGAGTGTTTCGCCGATAGTCCTGCGACTGTCGCGAGATTTGCGTTGTCGAAGTCACGATCCAAATTGAGGGGGAAAAAAAAATCAAACGAACACGAGACCGAGAACGGACGATGAGTGCTTGTGCGGAAGTTTGCGTTTCGCATTTGGAGAGGAGTGAGCCAAACTCGTAATTCATCCTATCGCAAGGCGAGCACACGACGATGAACCTACGATAATGGCGATCGACGCCGTCTCTTTGTTCGCGGGAAAAGCGGATCCCGCTTGTGGGGTATCGATCCTCTCCCGAATTGCGCAGCAGGAGGTCGGCGAAGCTCACCGTCGAGAAGCACGGAAGGTTGGATACGCGAGCGTCCTGAGCAATTACGTGCAATCAGCCTCCTCGTTTCAGCGTTCATCGACCGCATGAAAAAGAGATTTTTCTTTCGAACCGTTGAAGGTTTTCTCGTGATGGCCGATAGACAGAGAAGGCAAGTCTTCTTCGGAAGTTTCCGTGACGAACAATGAAACTAGATAGACCTCTCGATCGACAAAAAAGAAGGCGATCTAAATTATTTTATGATTGTTTCCACCGTTGTACAAAAATCTTGATGATAGATCTATGAAAAGATTGAAAGATTATTCAAGGGAACGAAATCTGAGATGACCCGGAAGCGCTACTAATCCTCATGCGTCCACGTTTCTCCACGTGGACTAATTTCTCCGCATGTCCTATTGTATTAATCGAAGAAGAATTGATATCGCTTCACGATGAACTATTCCGAGCAAATTTAAGATCGTAAAACGACCCTGGGGGTCGTAAAAAAAAAAGAAGCATCGTACGAGTTCTCTTCCGGAAAGACACGAGGGAGAGATATTGGAATAATGCGGGAGCCCGCGCATTGAAATCTTAGCACGTGACGATACCACCGAACGCGCACTCGTAACTCGCGCGTAGCGGTGTAGATCAGATCGCCGATGAGACACACACACTCTGTAGACACGGCTTTTTAGCGGCTACCGCTGCTGCGATTGTGGGATTGTTGTGGTTGGTGCTGGGGGTTGGTGCTGCTGCTGATGCTGTTGCCGCTGGTGCCGTCACGGTTTATATTGTTGCCCGGTGGATGATGTACGGAGAGGTCTCTATTTATTTATTTTTTTTATAATTGTATAACTATATAACTAATGGTTGCCTGCATGCCCCTACCGCGCCTATTACTTCTTAAGAAAAACTGACTAACCCGACACAGCCCGACCAGGCGTTGTGTTTGTTGTTCTTGT